AAATTAAATCGAACTCGATTACGTTGTAATAATAAAATAACCAAAATATTACAAATAAAATGAATTCTTTTTTCAATTTTGCAAGTACTCGGAAACAATAATATATATAGGTATAATTTGGGTTAGAATAATCTCACCGTTTTATTATTGTAAATGAGCTATCGAGCTGCACATACGGTTATAAACTTATAATTACTATTAGTAATACGGATAGATGATGGAGAAAATCAGTAGTAGAGTAACTCGAGGTGGCTGGAATAATGAAATTTATCATGGACATTGACACAAGGATAATTGTATTTCACTATAGCATTTCATTACTATGACGAATTTATTCTATATTTGGGTTTGCTATCTATTATATATTTTTGTTTAAGTTGACACTGTTATCGTTCTTTATTTAATTTTATGTAGTTGAGATTCACGGAGCCCTCAGCAACAGTATAAATTCTGCTCTTTTATTATCAAAGTTGAAATTAATGTGGTTTTTTCCCATTGATGTAATGGCGACTTGGTAACCGAATCTATTGATGTTCCGTGTTATATTCAAGGTTTTTTTATTATCTTAGCGACGCTGTTTGTCTGTTGCTAATTAAATAGAACGTATGGTATTTCTGTTTCAGTATTTCACAGTAATTAATTACTGAATGAGATATTTGTTCCATTTTATTAAATTATTATTGTGAGCAATGTCTCTTATGTACATTCGTAATCTGTAGTCGCAGGCATCTAATTTTGAAAAATCGGTAAATGAATAAATTTCGGTTGTACCTATCGGTTTTTTAATGAAAGATGCAAAAAATTATCATACGTATTATTAATAACATATTATTACCTACAATACAGCTTGTATTAGATTGCTGATTTGTGAGAGAGCATTATTCAAAGGAGGCTTTTGGAGAGTTTTTAACGGTAAGCAGCGGTTTGGCTCTGCCCCTGGCATTGCTGAAGTTCATGGGCGACGTCAACCACTCAACATCAGGTGGACCGTATGCGTTTGCCTACAAGGGCAATAAAAAAAAGTCGACATAAGTCTCCTCGCAGTGATGGTGCAAATCTACGCAGACTGAATCAGTAGACCATATTCGGTAAATAATTACTAGGGTGGGCGCCGGAAAAAAAAAGTCACACAAACAAATGGTTTATAATAAAATCGTTTAGTAATTTTCCATGATAATGTTGAACATTACGCTATGTTGCCGCCAATCTAATTATTATAATCACTGGAATATGTATCACGATAAACAAATCTTATTTTAATTGCTTTTGTCCGTTTCGATTTCAATGACAGTAATTGTTAATGTTCTTGACCCCTTGTGTAGATTAAGGGAAAATTTTAAACAGGAAAATGTAAAGCGCACTGTGGGAAAAACAAACCGTATTCATATTGTTGCAACCGACAAATTTTGGATAGCAATTATAACTAGAAGATACTTGACTTGAACATTTTGTTACAATGTAATGTTCATTCTTTAATTAGTAAAATTTTTAATATTATGTTTCCAATATCAATATGTAAATAGTTTCAATTGAAAAGATATATAATTGTCTGGTGACCGGAGAGGTAGTGGGGAAAGGATCGGAGGTCGTCGGTCGCCCCTCTGCGCGCACGCTCTCAGTAATAATTTACGTCGCGTCGCGTCTGCTGGTGATTGTTGTACATTGCCTTATAGTTCGTGACAATAAATTCGATTCAAGGAGAAAAACACGAGCGCCTGCGCTCGGTTCGCCCCCTATGTCTGCCGCACTCTATGTGCCACCTGGACGCCGTTAGAATGAAGTGCCACTATCGCTGCAATTGGAATAAAGAGATAGTTTTCAACTCACAAAAGCTCGTAAAGAGACGTTAGATTCCTCGGCCGTATTGAAACCACTCCACGACGACAACCAACGCTCGACCTCGAGGATTCCAGTTTAGAGAATAACACTGCCCCCTATAGTTTTGAATTGATTTGAACTTAGTTTTAAGACTATTATAACTATAGAAGTAAATAACTAAAAAGACTTGGGATATATATAGAGTGCTCTCGAAGGACATTACGATGGCACTGGCTGATATGTATCTGGGTACGTGTCAAGCTGTTTAATTCCTTACAAAACGAGATAAATGTTAATGTTTCATGAAATTAATAATCATTAGTGTCGCTTCAAGGTTACAAGACAAGAAATATTGTATGTACTTTTTAGGTTTTATCAGATCCAGTAACGTCTATTTATTTACAGATTAACAACGATTTCCCTTATTATACAGGGCTATGTGAATTTGTGATACAAACAACTAGAATTAAAATCCTTAAACTTAGAAATGCAAAATAACATAATTTCACGTGGCGGTCATAACAGACGCTGGTTGTAGTATAAAAAAAATTACAAAAGAAAAATACCCACATGGAAGTGTTTACGTTTTCAAAATATTTTAATAGGTTGAATGATTCACATACAGTTAGCTATGCAAAACCGGAATCTAATTAACTGATATTAGTTAGGTTGTGTTGTCAATTGATTTAGAAAAAAAACACCACGCTATATTGATCATATTTCTTGATCATGACAACTCTCATTGAATTCGCTTTATCTGCGCAATAATATTGTAAAGAATTCCCGGTCCGTTCTGCTTGTGGTGCAAGCAGTAAACGATGTGGGTTTACGATACGTAATATTTTACTTTCGATAAATAATATCGTGTACATATAAAAATATTTCAGTCATTGGGAATAATACATCAATCTCAAGTTATGACTTGAGATTGATGTATTATTCCCAATGACTTTATTTTTTGAAATGACTTTGTTTTCAATTTACACCCTATGGGGTGTAAATTGAAAACTTAATAACGTACTTAATAGTGTACAAGCATGTACGATGATTTTGTATGAGCCAATGGGAGCGCAACTTGTTTTAGTCGCACGTGGTTTTGAAAAAAAATATGCTTTTATTGTTGTTATATACATTTCCGGCTTCAGTTATCGTAGCGGCAGAAAAAATTCGTAATTTCAATTCCAGGTTACAATTATTTTGACATACACAAACTACTGATAAATTTAATAGTTTATAAAGTATTCAGTATATTGTTTTGATATTTAAGTTGATATTAATAGAAGGCAGGTACCTTGTCGTTTGTACCGTACAAGTATCGTAAACCAGTTCGATCAGATGACGGCCTCGCTCGCTGTTCGCCCAATAATTAAAGCTATATATTGGCCACTTGTTTTGCCTATACAAATATACATTGATAGAGATATTAATGACCCAGCGTTGTACTTTTCGAACGGTGGATAAATAGTTATCTTGTCACGCTCTCTGGGCGTGCTTAAAACATATTTTTTTCCTTTCATTACCTTGAATAATAAGTTTATAGTAACAATAAGTCAATACAATGTTGTCTCTTGCTCAGCTTTTAATGAATTATCTGGACGAATTTGCATTCGAACTGCGATCACGCTTCAGTTCGAATTCTGAAAACAATGCTCTTGTATAACTGAGACATGAAAGCATCATGTTCTCAGAGTTGTGAAATACTAGATGATGATCAATGAATATTGCTCTCATTACAACAACTAGATTGTGACCGAGCATTGCTCGGTATTTATATTTTTTTTGATAAATTATGTTTTTTAGAAATTGTATTTAAAAACGAATTACATATTGATATTATATTATATTATTTGTTATTTTCTTTCAATAAAAAAGTGTATGTTTAAGTTGATTATCGATAAAGATAATTATTGCAAAAACGAATAAAACAACATTGTCTGAAAATAAATCGTAGCTAGATCGATTTATCGCCCCCGAAATCCCCTGTATACTAAATTTCATGAAAATCGTTGAGCCGTTTCCGAGATTCATATATATAAATTTATTTATATACAAGAATTGCTCGTTTAAAGATATAAGATAAATTTAGCTACGTGCATAAATATATAGTACCATCCTGAGACATACAAACTTGAATTAGATAATTAGATATATCCATTTACTTGGAAAAAAGTGTGTTTGTTGTTTCAAACACATGCTTTATATATTTAAAGGCAGTCCACAAATGAACGGGATTCTCGTCTAGGTATCTACAAATTTAAAGATACGTAATTCACCATGTTGATCACGCCACTCATAGCTAATGTATACAAAGACCTATATATTGTAGATAAGGAGCGCGAATAATTTAGATTTTACTAAAGTCATTGACCCGAGTACTTTGTTCACTTTACAACAAATAAGCTGAATAGATATATAATTTACGTTATCTGAAGTTTTGGTATCAGCGGAATACTACTGTCAAACTTAAAGTTTATCGTGGGTCAGTTTATTGCAACCGAATTTATTAAACAGATACTTGTCACTAACGATTATGTATTCGCGTCATACTCTAAATCTTAATTATGATAGACTAAACTAAACAAAAGCACCTTTAAAAGTAGTACTGATCTGTAATGTGAATACATTAATTTATCTTAGTATTATAATTATTACAAAGGAATTATGTATTCGGTAAAAGGAGAAGATTATTTGGAGGGATGTCTTAATCTCTTGGATCAAAATATTTTGCGAATCCTTTTTAACTGACTAAGAGGAGGTCATTGATTCCCATGTTTTTTTTTTATAAAAAGTTCCTTCCAACGTTATACCAGTTAAATAGCTAAACAGTGCTGAATTGCGTGCACTATATGATAAGATTTTTGTACTTTAGTGGAATAATACTAAGAATTATTGTTTTATTTATTATAAACGAGATGACATCACTACAACAATAGAATAAAACTGTTTTATATTCTGTATAATTAATATTCATTATAATCTCAAGGAAATATCCCAAAAGACCCGATCATAAAAATAAAGTATCGTTTAAATTCGTGAATACATAAATATTTTTAAGCAATAGATACTCGCTCACTTAGTAACAAAGCAACACTTCTTAAATCTTACCGTATTCGATTTTGATCAATTGTAAGTTTTTAACTTGCTTTTGCATTATCTAACATTTTTTTTCCTTCTTTTTTCAGAGAATATTTTCTCCAACTGGCTAGAGGAAAAGGTTGACCTCCCTTCCATCTTTGAAAACATTTCTGAAGTTCCTGAACGCGTGGACCCACAACCCCCGGCAGCGGTTCTAGCTTCAAGTCCTTTTGTGACCTCGCAGCCCACTGAAGAACTGCTGCGGGAATTCGAAACGGTTTATGGTGCTGTCGAATTAACGCATTTAACACCGCCGCAGAGTCCGCCGGGACCCGCGACTCAGTTGCTCCTGAGTTACGCTCAACAAGCACAATGCACAGCACTAGCACCTCCAGTTCCCCTGGCACCGCCGCAAGAAGCGTGGCAGATTGTGGCACCTGTTCCGGTTAATCAGCTGCCGGAAGGTTACGAGTGTGACTTGGACGCCGTCGAGGAACTGGTCCGTCACCGAGCCTCTCAACTGGCATCTCCGCAACATTCCAGTAGTAGTGCTAATGCCTCTCCACGTTCTTCACCACCATCATCGCCGCGTTCCTCATCGACCGACGAGGACTGGTCCGCACCGTCACGTTTGAAGACGCGTTCTGTAGATGACCGTCGTTCACGCAAGAAGGAGCAAAATAAAAATGCTGCTACTCGTTACCGTCAGAAGAAAAAGGCTGAAGTGGAGGTGCTTCTCAAGGAGGAGCAGACCCTGCGCCAGCGTCACACCGAACTCGGGGAGAAGTGCTCTGACCTCCAAAGAGAGATTCGCTACCTAAAGGCTCTGATGCGTGATCTTTTCAAGGCGAAGGGTCTAATCAAGTAAATCAATCAACAACGCCGCCTCCAGAGAAATAAAACAATATGCAAAAACGCATAAAGCGATTGATTCTGTTGATCATCGGAAGTTAAGGGAGTTCTTTAATTTGGATGATTTTTATTTTACGATAAAATAATTTAACTCTGTCATAGTTTGCATCTAAGTGAGCAGATCAGATGTCACATCATCGAGCAGCATAAGCTACGTCATCATCAGAGGGATACTAATAACACCTTGTAAGGTGGCGCCATTCTTCATCATTCATTCATTCATTCATTCATTAATTCATTTAGACGATAGGTCGCATTCGTTATTGTAAAAATATGTATACTTATAGGATCAACAACATCTTACTCCTTGTTTTGGTTAAATCACTATTTTCGGTATATATATACACACTTGTATTGAGAAATTTTATCAACTGACATGAAATCTTTGATTATTTTTTTAATATTTCTTACAATAAATGGAATGCGATGGCGGAATGGTTTTGTTTTATTAATGAACATGCATATAGTAAATAATCAATTTTTTTTTATCTCATGGCAGTTTTCCTCTGAAAGAGTACTACTGTACACAAAAGACTAGACTATATTCAATTTCTGCAGCGTCATAGTTATTTGAAACTCGTACGAGATAAGAATAAGTTTTTTTTTATTGCCCGTGTAGGCAGATGAGCATACGGCCCACCTGATAGTGATAGTGGTTATCGTCGCCCATGGACTTCAGCAATGTCAGGGGCAGAGCCAAGCCGCTGCCTACTGTAAAGCCAAATAGTAAGTACAGTACAGTACATATAAGTACAGCCAAACTCGAATAACAAATATATTTTGCAAAGATATTAACGGTAATCGAATGTGGATCCCATGGTGCAGTAGTCAGGATCACTAACAGCTTCATAAAGCTTGATGAAACGTTTGAGTGGTGTCTGGACGGCTTAGATTTACAATTGGGTCTAGTAGATGGCGCTGTAATCGGGCTTTATGTTTTATTGTTGTAGTTTTTCAAATATTTGAAGAATTTTCCTGTTGACCAAGCTTAGGATTTAGGTACACAACAAAATTAATTCCAAAATTTTTTAATTAAACGCCGTTCATTTATAAAGGATCAATTGAAAAAGTTTGTACTGATTTGTCTATTTTTTTGATACTCTTAATCGTTAGGATTTTAGAGAGAAAATTGGAGAATTCCCGCAATTGTACCCAAGAGATTTAGTTTAATTTGGACAGGACAGCGTTATTAGGCCAACGAAAATAAAAATTTAAAATTTGTTTATAGCACATAGAAATTTTTTTTTACAAGATCTCGAGTTTATTGCGTTGTGTACTTTTAATAGCACAATTATGATGACCAAACGATCCGATCCGATGTCCATGTAACCTCGCGAAGATAACGTTAACGTTACATTGACTTGATGTTTTTTATTTTATTTTTTATTGCCCTTGTAGGCAGACGAGCATACGGCCCACCTTATGGTGAGTGGTTACCGTCGCCCATGGACTTCAGCAATGCCAGGGGCAGAGCCAAGCCGCTGCCTACCGCTTAATACTCTCCACAAGCCTCGTTTGAAGAAGGACATGTCATAGCGCTCGGGAAACACCGTGGAGGGGAGCTCATTCCATAGCCGGATGTTAGATAGATGTTTGATAGTTAATAATCGTATTACCAATGATCTTGAAGGAATCGTCTCGATCTTAGTTTTGTTTGTTACTAAGCAAGTATTGTGCTTAGGCGATATTAATGATAGGCTGTTCACCGTACTACACCAAAGCTAAATTTTCAATTGAATTTTACAATGGCTGCCGTATCTATCAAGCCGACTTACGGGATTGCCTCGCAGAAATAAGCGAGATAGTAGCAACTTGTCTTCATAGGCACCATTACCATTACCACCGTTGGTAATTTAAAATTGGAAATCAGATCTAATCGATCCCATAGCTTGAAAAAAACCCTACCTAAATTTACTTAGGTACTTACGTATGTGTTGAATCTGAACTTGGATAGTATGTACAACTGCCTTTATCATAGTTACAAACCATTGTGTGAAAATTATCATATAATATCTATATAGACATATATTCAGTACCGTAGCTGGCCAGACATAATTAATAATTACAGGATATACATAATTTCTATACCTAGTCTGCCTTTAGTGAGAATTTAATGTAAATACCGAACCTACACTATGAGGATGCTTTGTTAGTTAACTTCCGTAATTACACTGAAGGCAACTTAGATTTTGAAAAAGATGACTTAACTATGACAATTAATCTGAAAAATTCAAACTATGGTTATACAGAAACTAATCTCTAAAGAGATATTTGCTTAATTAGAGACGCGTGCATTACGTCAATCCTGTATCCTGAGGTTGATCGCCTGTTTCTGAATTTAGCTTTACGTATCAGACTGATTACTGGAGATGTTAGCCGGGTAGTACCACACTGGTGGTAGGACCTCTTGTGAGTCCGCACGGGTAGGTACCATCACCCCGCCTATTTCTGCCGTGAAGCAGTAATGCGTTTCGGTTTGAAGGGTGGGGCAGCCGTTGTAACTATACTTGAGACCTTAGAACTTATATCTCAAGGTGGGCGGCGGCATTTACGTCGTAGATGTCTATAGGCTCCAGTAACCACTTAACAACAGGTGGGCTGTGAGCTCATCCACCCATCTAAGCAATAAAAAAAAAAAATTTTGATAATATTTTACAAATAATTTTCAAAAATCATCGAAAGCAATCATATTATTATAAACGAATTAAGTAAAATCTTAAAAATAGTTCGAGAAAATCGAGACAAGGAAGGTCTTCTATAGGGCAGGTGTTTTTGCTCGGTAAACTGACGGTCCCGTATATTATTGTACGGAATCTTTACATATTAAAATTTTTCTTGAAAATTTTAGTGCGATTCAGATTCCTGTCTAATATCTTCTGTAACACTTCTATTATATCATCATTGAGAACACATGACATTGGCATTTGATAAAAGAAAATGTAGGTTAACCTTTTTAGCAGACAGGAAACAATAGCTTGGTTTTGAGTGGGAGCTGTCATTGTGCAGAAACATTATCGACTTATGCGAATGCGAAACAGCTTATTATTTTATTATATTATTCTGTATCTATCTGTACTAACTACATATATTAGCTATTTAGATTAAAATTATGTAAATGTAAACAATTTATTACTAACAGCATAAATTTGAATTAGCCACAAGCTACAAGTAATTACACTCGGTACCGATCCCAAGATAAACCAGTTTCCCGTATTCATTTCAAACATTGCCATAGAATTAAATTATATAAAAGTTAATAGATCTAGAATATGCGTCATTGAATTAGAGAAACGTGCTTCGAGATGACCGTTTATCGTTAATATCCTCAACACAAGGAAAACTTTTCCAATAACAGTGAGATAAGAGCGAGTTCAGAGTTCAGACCGGGTCATAAGTATGCATGTGGCGTGTTTGTTAATGGAGTGAGGACAGGGACAAAGCGCCTTGATGCTGTGGAATCCACCCTCCCTATTATGAATGTATTACGGTGAGCGAGAAAGCATTTTTATAGAGATAGGTCGCTGTGTGAAGGTCTTATATGCGTAACCTTCAAAGCTTAATCAAGATGCAGAAAGGAGTTTGTTTTTCTTTCGCCTTTCTTTTTCTTCATGCCTTTATCTCATATTACGGGGAATCGGCGTAGCATATTATTATCTTCTTATCATGCTGTATACGGATTTAGTATAAGTTACAACCGGCCACATGCCTGACGTTAACTCTCCTTGGATTATACCTCAATTTACTTATTGCAACGGGCAACGGCGAAATTATTTTCTGTTTCTACTTTTCTTTTACTTCATCCGTTTTTGGTTTTATGTTTGGGTGAACGGTGTGTATAGTTTATATTTTTTTTAAGTTTCACTTATTATTTATATTTATTTATATCTTAATGTCAATAATAAAAACATTTGAAACGAAACTAAATCCGAAAAGCAATTTGCAACAATGATATGTTAATAACATTGTTGTGCTGGGTCTCACTGGAATTGAATTAACATTATCCACTATCACTCTAAGAACCTTAGAAGTGATACTGAGGAAGATAGAGCGACTAACATCTAGGTTAGCAGCAACGCGTGTGTGGTCGTTCACACAATCAACGACTCCTTGGGATGGGGATATTTGGCTATGGATCTTACATATCATTTTCGATTTAGTCCCCCATCATTTCAATAAAAAAATATATAAGAAAATAAGCCATGGGCTCAGTGACCAGACATTCCATTAAACCGTAAACATTTTTTAGTATAGTGTCTAAGTGGGTCCTCATTAGGGCTTTTTCATCTATTATTCGGCATTAATCGAATCGCCGTGCTAATGCTAATCGCCAAGCTAATGCGCGATCTCATCAAAATTGAACAAGGATATCCAGTCAATTGATATCATTCTTCCTATTTTGGAAACAAAATTTGCTTTCAGTAGAATCGATTGATCTTGACGATTGCAATTTTATCCATGCAATAAGTTGATTGTTCTCTGTTGATATCTGTAGCTGGCCTGACGCAGGTAACTCATAGTTAGAACAGCATTACTTCTCTTCTTGTGGGTGTTTTAAAACGAGGCTAAGGGTTTCAGCAAAAGAGTAGCAGCGTTCTCTGAGTTTATGCCAGCGTATTATGATTGCCAACCAAAATTAAATGTATCGTCCTTTTGTATATTTCTGTTCCAAAATGACCATACTTTTCGGTTTGACGATGGGACAGGACCTAACATAGTAGGTGGTGTCTTTCATGTTGTGAGATCGATGAGCTTCGGTAATAATATTAACCGTATCGTCCTTTTGTCTATTTCTGTTCCAAAGTGACCATACTTTTCGGTTTGACGATGGGACAGGACTTAACATGGTGGGTGGTGTCATTCATGTTGTGAGATCGATGAGCTTCGGTAATCATTTCATATTAACCCATGTACGCAATATGAAACGTGAAATGTTAAAATCACAATACCCATAGACATATCAGAAGCTTTCTCTGAAATTCCAACCATTACAAATTATACGAAGATTAACCCAATCGGATAAACGACGCGCGAACGTCTAAAATATGATTAAACGAACTTGATATATTGGATTGGATATTACATTCAATACATCCGCGTTTAACGTTAAGTATTAATATCAAGCTTTTAAGTAAGCGTGAAATTACCCACTAAATTGCACTATGTGCACTTAATGACTTTTCCTGATTTAAAATATATTTTATATTATTATAATTTTAGACATTCATGTTTATTATTCACAAGTTTGATGGATGCAATTTTTTTTTTTAGTTTTTACGGCTGTGAGGTGTGAACAAGCTCATGGTCCACCTGGTGTTAAGTGGTTACCGGATCCCATAGATATCTACAACGTAAATGCCGACACCTACCTTGAGATATAAGATCAAAGGTCTTAATTTTTACAGTACAACGACTGTCTCACTCTTCAAACCGACACG